AACTTATGTGGATTACCCTAATAAATGGCTGAACCTAAATGCATGAAATTTCGTGGTTATTCAAATGGCTTTATAGTAGGCCTACCCTGAAAATTTCATTAGGATGTCTCAACAAACAAAAAAGTTGCCCTTCCATGGTAGCCTCCTCCCTTAACAGTAACTTCCGACTGCAAACTGCAGAAGAAAAAAGTACCCGCGTATTATCGCAAGGCGGCCAGAGAGGAAGTCAGAACTCCGAAACTTATCCTGTTTACAGATCCTCTTTATCTTGCACGCATCATTTTTTTTTTACACCAAATTCAAATTCTTTGCAATATTGCTAGGTATGCTACGAAAACAATTTACGCATTGACATTCTCGTATAACCCGCTCCTCAACTTTAGCTTCAACATTTCTGCTTATTTTGAGCATGTTGTTCGCAAGAAAATACGTTCACACGATATGAGATTGGTACTTCTGAGTTAGTGAGAGTTCAATGCATGAGCTTGCTAGGAACAAAAAATGACTCATAATCATGAGATTTTACCTGATTACATGGTCTATAGACAACACTTTGCTGCAACAAAATTCCACAATGAATTTTTTCACACTTCCTGTTAATTTCATTGTAACAGGATTCAACCATACACCATTGTGTATTGTGCAGGCTATGCCACGAATTGAGGGTCACAATCAGTGTTTAAAACAGAAAAAATGTAAGTAAGATTACACATTCCCTTTCATACACTCTTTCCACTAGTAATGTTTCCATATGAAAGACCACCAGCCGAAAATTCTCTCCCAACCAATGCTTAGCAAGCTTTTATTTGTTATAGAGAGACCAGCAGTGATTGTGACTCGTGAGCACTTCAAGTTGAAACTGCAGTACAAAGCAACTTCACTAAGTTGTAAAAAAGACAACCAGAAATAAAAATATTTGTTACATCGTGGATAACACTTAAAGGGGCACCGACACAAAATTTCGCGGCCGAGATAGCCAGTAGGGTCGATTCTCAGGAACACTCGTATATCATCTGCAAAATAACAGCGAATATAGCTGGGAATATATTTTAAAAGAATTTTGAAGTTTGCGTGAGCCCTGGACTCCATCGTGCCATTGACACAATCGAAGGGGACCCCTAGGTGTTGACCCCCTACTTCCCTCACGTCACCACGCTGCAGCCAACAAAACAAGTTATGATGACGTCATAGCCGCCATTTTTTTTTTTGCAGCACTTGTTAACGCAGTTTATATTTCTCGGCGGCTGGTTGCGAGTGCTCAGCCGTGGCGCAAGCTTAGAAATTTCTGTGTTAGGAGATATTGCAGTCCCATTTCCTATTCGAATGTAATTCTTTATGCGGATCGTGCGGACGTGTGTCACAGTTCTGTGTGCTGATGTGGTCAAAAGCTGCGCACGCTAGGTGGCGACAGTTGCACCTAGTTTTTGAAGCTCTGTGAAACCGAAACTGAAACTGATCAATAATAAGAGGCCTGTAAATAATTATCTGTCATGCACTACAGCAAACGATGTGTCATGTCATGACTAACAGGCCCCCAGCAACACATTGCAGCAGAAAAACACAAGGTCAAAAACACAAGGTCAAAGTTTTTGTGTCAGTACCCCTTTAATTGAGGTTTGTTATATTGAGGCTTGCTGTACACACAATCAAGACTGTAACAGTGCTGTGCGACAAATATTCAATTATGACAGTACTTTTGCAAAAAGTGCACTTTAGTTTGCAGGCACTGCATTGCAAATATGAAGCTGGTATCGACACAACATACAGTTTATTATGTGAAGAAGTGAGAAGGGCACTCACGTACATAACACTGCCTTGCTAGTTTGAAAAACCAGAAAATTCTACAAGGAAAAGTGAAGTAAATGCAATACAAGCAGTAATTTATGAACTGGGAGTTATGTGCTCATGCTACAGGCTTAAGAGTTATGGTAATAAATGTAACATGAAAAATGCCAGAACCGCAGCGAAGGGCCATACACCCACCTGAGATTTGGCGCCAGGAGTCATTGGCGCATTGGGACTATTAAGGTCCCATATGAAGATTTCCGAGTCAGTCGACCCTGATGCCAGAAGATTTGCCTAAAAAAATGAAATGCTTTCTATGCACTGATTTCCTTCACTTCCTACTGAAGAACGTATGTCTGAATAGTTCGAAACACACTTCACATGCATTTTAACCCTCCGTGTAATATCCACTGTATCATATTTGATGCATTGAATACCTCAATAAAGCTACTAAAAGCTACTATAAGTGTCACGACAAGCAGCTATTGCAGATTTCACATGATATGAAGAAAGTACAGGGACATATATTATAAGATAGTAATCAATTATTCTCAATTATTACTTATTAGGTTATGCCTCAAACAAAATTTTATTTATATATTTCTCAAAATGAACTGCACAAGAAGAGTAAAAACAGTCAGCGTTTTCTCACAATTTTTTCTGAAGGCATAACTTATCATGGGCATTACAGGGTTAAGCTGGTCCCATCAAAAATGAATAAGCAAGTAAGTAAATATTCATTTGTGCATCCAAAAAGGTAACTAAGGCTTCATACCATGTTTGTAATGCTGAAAGCTACTTAAAAAAGCAGAAAGTCAGGACTCTAAACGTTATCCTGTTTACAGACCATCTTTATCTTGCACGCACTTTAACTGAATTCTTGCTACTTCTGCATCACAAAAACAAAATGCCCATATCAATACAACATGGCATTCCTGACACAAAAAAACAAGCTCCAAGTGCTATACAAGAAATGTGATGAAGGGTTTATCAACTTTCTAAGTGCACGCTACTTCAATTGCATTCTGTAAATCACTTTCCAGCAAACATGACAAGACTATGCCAGGAAAAAAACACAGTCTCTGCATATATCTCGGCCAGTTTCACATGGCACTGGTGTTGTATTCTCGAACAGTTTCTGATACAACATTTAACATCTACAAATATCAGGGGCATTTTCAAACTGGGTTTTCCAAACCAAGTTTCACTGGTAGCATTTTAGGCTTCTGCTAATGACCCAATCACAATAAACTTCCATTTTCCTCCATCTAAAAGCATTTCTGGAGGAGGGGAGGGCAATCATGAGATCACTTCTATTCAGCTAAAAAAATTTTCTTCTACCCTAACATTTATTTAAAGTTTGTTAACATATAAGACCTTACTTCACTGTAACCATCAAAAGGATCTTTAGCTTGGCTGTAAATTATGCACTATCATTTTGCGAAGTATGGAGTCAGCACAGATATAATCATTAGCAGCAACGTTGATTATTGTGACACTTCTGTTAAACATTAAACTTCCATTTCCCTCCATCTAAAAGCATTTCTAGAGGTGGGGGGTGGGGGGAAATGATGAGATCACTTCTATTCAGCTAAAAATTTTCTTCTATCCTAATATTTATTTAAAGTTTGTTAAGATATAACACCTTATTTCACTGTAACCACCAAAAGGATCTTTAGCTTGGCTGTAAATTATGTACTACCATTTTGCAAAGTATGGGGTCACCACAGATATAATCAGTAGCAGCAATGTTGATTATTGTGACACTTCTGTTAAACATTAAACTACCATTTTCCTCCATCTAAAAGCATTTCTAGAGGTGGGGGAGGGGGAATCATGAGATCACTTCTATTCAGCTCAATATTTTCTTCTACCCTAATATTTAAAGTTTGTTAACATATAAGACCTTATTTCACTGTAACCACCAAAAGAATCTTTAGCTTGGCTGGAAATTATGCACTATCATTTTGCACAGTACAGGGTACCCACATATATCATCAGTAGCAGCAATGCTAATATTTGTGACACTTGCTATCCAAACATTAAACCTGTTTATGTTACATATTTTTCAATGACAAAGAAAATTCAGAAGAAAAGAAAAACAGCTGCATGTTATATTTATTGCTGCTGACCTTCTACGCCAGCAGCTACAAAGATTGATTGATTGACTGATATGTGGGGTTTAACGTCCCAAAACCACCATATGATTATGAGAGACGCCGTAGTGGAGGGCTCCGGAAATTTCGACCACCTGGGGTTCTTTAACGTGCACCCAAATCTGAGCACACGGGCCTACAACATTTCCGCCTCCATCGGAAATGCAGCCGCCACAGCCGGGATTTGATCCCGCGACCTGCGGGTCAGCAGCCGAGTACCTTAGCCACTAGACCACCGTGGCGGGGCAGCAGCTACGAAGAATGTTAGCCAATGCAATCACAATCTGTGTGCATTTATCGTTTAAGCTTTATGCCACTAGGTGGCACCACCAACCCAGCCGCTCTACTAACCTGATATTCTGAAATGGGCAACACTCTTACAAAGAAGTTAAAACTCCTAGCCATCTGCGAAGTGAATGCTTATGCAGTGAAATAAGGGCAATGCTAGTCATAATCTAGCAGGAAGTCCACTGAAATGGCAATTCTGCTCTGCACTGGTGTAGACGAGGTTGCCTAGTCCAGGCACCTTATGCAATCTTTTAGAGTCCACAGCTGTGTATTCTGCTGAAAGATATTTTGCCACACAAAGCACAATGAGCTAAGAATGACTCTCAACAACAGAACAAGGTTGTAAGTAAACACAACTGAACTTATATATACTTGCAGGCCAGAGCTAATAACATTGCACTCATTAATACAAATTATCATTGCAGTACATACCATGGTTCACGCTGTGAAGTGGCTTAAAATGCGTGGGACTTCCTTTTAAAGTTGTAAAAAGTGTGATTACAAAGGCATTCAGCAGTTTAAGCATTCAACAGTGTTTAGCAACTCACCTGAAATGTGTTGAAGTCAAGTGCATACACAGGGCCAGTATGCTTGTTCTTTTGGCAAATGAGTGAATCCTCCCCCTTAATGAGCTTTGCTGGGTCATAAACTAGCAGGTTGCCAGCGTCGGCCCCGCCGACGAGCACACCACTGGCCAGTTCACCATCTGACATGCCATGCCAGCCCCAGGCAATCTTATGGAACCTGAGTAGATTATACACAACACTCGGACGTAAAAGCAATCAAAAGCTGCACTGTTCTTTTTAAATAAATTTCTGGAACAACCAATTAATTAACAATATTTTAGTTAGGATGTGAATAGAGGTATTTACAATGAAGGAACAGCTTGGCTATTTCATAATTACAAAGGTTAAACAAGAGATTAAATACTGAACAAGCACATCCCTGTGCTGTCCTATACCTTATCTCGTTTTACCTTTGTGCAACAATTTTACTTTGGTGCACCTATGAACAAAAGTATATAGACTGCATGCAGGCTGAAAAAAAGAACTAAATTTATCAGCAATTCAGACACAGAGACTGCAAATGATAAGTGCAGAAGAACACTCCTATTATGAAGTTTGGAGTGCACCCCTCAATTAAAGTTATATTCATAGGTGAAGAGATGCTGGCTTTATTGCAGAATCCCTGGCTGCTATACTTTTGACCATAATACTTCACTGTCCACCTAACAGCCCTTCCTTCAATACTATGTGCCTTACACATTTTTGTACGACACTTCTACAAGAATGAGACATTTCTTAATAATAAATTGATGGTACTTTATAGCATAATGCAGGCAAAAAAAGTGAGCATAGGATTTAAGCATATGGAAGCATGTGGGTCTCCATGCAGCACAGCATTCACAACCATGTCACTCTCCATATTCCTTATTTAGAAGAACATGTGCAGTAAAACTGTAGTACTAGCAAACAGTTTTACTGCCTTTACAAACATAAAAGGTGAAAGAAACCACAGATATTCAGGTGTGTTAAACCTACATAAATTAGGTGCAGCATACGGTAGTAACTCAATAACATGAAACGTGCTTACTAAACATTATATGTTAAAGAGATACTGAACAAAATTAGAAAAACTCTGGAAACGTTGCAATTCTACTCAGAATAAGCAACTGTTCTGATAAACAGAGTTAATTTCCCATATTTTCAGACTGTTGGCTGTATTTCTGATGAATCGTCATCGTACGGTGGCCTCACGCGAGCGGGAGCCGTGACGTCAGATTCGCTAAGGTGCAGGCGTAGCGCACAAGTTCCCGTCGTCCTCTTCCTTTTCTCCACTTCTCCTTTCATTCCACTTTCCCCCTTCAATTCAATTTTTCATTTGCAGGAATCAGATACAAAAATACCAAAACTCCAATAAAAAAAATAGGCTTTCCATGTACAAGAGGATGATACAGAAATACATATGGATATAATCATTTTACATTTTTCAATTGCACAAGCGTACAAAAGAAAGCAAATGTATGGGTAGGTGCAGAGCTACAGTTCTTGGTAACCATGTAAAGACAGTAAAACAAGGTAATTTCATGCATTAATATCCAAGTTATAATTTACATGTTTAAGCTCGAGGAACTAGAGAAAGTCGAGGAACGTCCACAAAGTGCTGATGCTTTGCATCAGCCAGGAGCATCGTTGCAATGGGTGCTGTTCATACCGATTCTGGGAACCACAGGGGGAGAGGAGTGTCGAGAGACGCAAGCGACGGCTGGCTTGCCCGTTTCGGGTGGATCTGACATCGTCGAATGTCTATTCCTATAGTTCATGGTGCGGCCGCTAGATGAAGCAGTTTGTGAAAAACACATTATTTTTAATAATATTGCTAGCATTTTTTTCTTCGTAAGGAGTTTTCACAAACCATGCCACTTATCTGCTTACTTCATCTCTCTTCGTTTAAACGCCTAGAAAAACGCAACTATCGCAACACACATGGATTCTTAAGGGTCGTGGTTATCAATTCATCTATTCGCTTTATCAGTTGGTTGCATCAACAGCACATAGCTTTCGTATGAATGAAAATGCTGTGCAAGGAGGTGAAAAAAAATTGGAGAAAAACAGTGTGCTATAAATCTGACCTTACTAGGAGCAAAAATTTTGTTCAGTATCCATTTAAGCTGTGTCGAGACAAAAGTGAGAGTCAAGTCCTGCATTACACTTTTCATGTTATGTGGGAAAACAGGTATGCACCTATTCTGCAATGAGCTCTTGTTTACTTCTTGAAGAGGAAGTGCCTGGTTTTTTTTATGCTCAGAATTGTTTTAGCTCCAAAGCTATGCTTTTCATGTTGAACAGCTTGCTCAGCATTTCAATCACTAAGCTTGATCTGTATGGCTCTGTGATCAAGCTGCCACAGCTGTGCAGCTTGAAGTAAAACTAGAGTCTTCACATGTTTTGTACAACATTTGTAGAAACAACCAAAGCACAAATTTTTTATTACTAGAATGAAGGGCAAAAGATGCCAGTTTCAGCAATCAATTTTGTTGAACATTTACTTTGCAAAACTCCCAGGCGTGCCAAAAATTGCCAAATATGATTAGAAACTAAAGTTCAGTTTTCACTTGATGAGCAGCATGGCACTATTTATAGAATATTTCCTATCAAAAGTTGTCAAGCAGTTCACTAAGGTGTGGTAATGAAAGAGTTAAAGGATGACTATGAACTCTATCCTTGCAGACCACTGTTTTCAAGTAAAACCTCATAGGTGATGATTTCTTAGTGGAAACATGATTAAACACAGTATAGGTTCAAAAAAGATGGCGTGGTAAAGCCCTGAAATCCCAACACGAATGTCACCTCTGTTATTTGTTGAACTACCATGAATAACTCTTCCTTTAACAAAAGGCATGGCTTCATTTCAGACTCAAACCAAACACCCTGTTTATAACAAGCAAGCCCCTAGAACATAAATTACCTCATGACATTCATGCTTTAAATTACCAAGTAATACTACCCATGCCAGCAAATGCTACTCCACCAGTCACACAGTTTAGTCTTAATAAAATATTTGATCTACAAAAGCATGGGTTCATTTCAGACTCAAACCAAACACTCTGTTCATAACAAGCAAGCCCCTAGAACATAAATGACCTCATGTCATTCATGCTTTAGATTACCAAGTAATACTACCCATGCCAGCAAATGCTACTCCACCAGTCACACAGTTTAGTCTTAATAAAATATTTGATCTACAAAAGGCATGGGTTCATTTCAGACTCAAACCAAACACTCTGTTCATAACAAGCAAGCCCCTAGAACATAAATGACCTCATGTCATTCATGCTTTAGATTACCAAGTAGTACTACTCATGCCAGTAAATGCTACTCCCCCAGTCACACAGTTTAGTCTCAATAAAATATTTGATCTAAAAAGTTTTTTTGCAATTTTTAATAACACACTCATGACAACCAGATGTAGGCTGGACAGGTTTTAACGTGCCACATTCCTTGGAAAAGGTTAACGTACCACATTCCTTGGCGAGTTAAGCTAAAAAACTGCAAAGAGAGTGTGCCTCACATTTTAAGTGGCAGTGAACCTTGCTTCCAGCATGGCCGACAGTGAAAGATTAAATTTGGTTGTGCTCGGAACAACCAGGTCAAACTTTTGCTCAACAGAACATAATCTGTGGCCATAGTGCATGAAACACACAAGATGCTTGTAGGCAATACTAGCACTCATGCTAGTACTGTAACAGAATGAGCAGACACGTTGCACATCCCTGCACAGATGAACGACACATGTTCACACCAAACATCGTATTCAGTTTCAATACATGGAGTAACTAAAAAGGGCAGATCAAGCAGCAACAGCCTGTTTTATTGCTCTTTGATCGACCTTTAAAATTCCCTTCTAATTTCTAAGACAAGGTGACATGCACGATATCGCCTTAGAAGAATAAAAAAAATCATTACACTTCAACTGCAAGTCACACATGTAAATTAATACATCGGTTTTTCGCTGAAACCAACAGGTTTCGTTCGGACGAACTGTTCTCAAAAAAACATCACAAGCTTAACTGGAGAATGGCAAACATTATCCTCACCTGTGATCGGAATCAAGAGTTCGACAAGTTCCATATCCAGTCCTGGCTCCGTGAGGTTCAGTGCATATATCTCGAGTGCAGCCGACGTGCTGACATGTGTCGCGCAAAAGAGTGAGCTGGCAGTAATGAAAAACTTAATGTGGAAATTTGTAGAAGGCTGCAATAAGCATGTCAGGGCACATCTATGAAATAATAGTCTATGAGGGATTATACGTGAAAATCCCAGAGGCAACAGTACCTGAACGTGGAATCCAGCTGCTGAGCGGCAGTGCCGGCTGCAATATAAATCGGGTGGTGCACAGCCGGCGCCCAGGCCACGTTGGCTGTTCTATCTATTTCTTTAACCTTCATTTTTGCCTGCAAAACCAAAAACAAATTCAAAACTTAGCGACGAGTTACGGAACATTCAAAAGCTGCTAGCACGAATAGCAGAGCTGCTCAAGCTTGACACGCATTGAAGACGCCGCGGAACGGGGACGTTTAAACGCGATGCCAGAAGACTTCCAGCCTGCTATTTCTTTAAAGTGTACCTTAGTCACAGAAACTCACGCCTTTCCTTCACTAGTCAGAATGTTTCACTTAAGGAAATACACCTAACACAAACGAAGGCGAAGCGATATATGGCGACTTCTTTCTTCGACTACCATCGAAAATGGCTGAGTTTTCAGAAACTACAACGCTGTCTGCTATTACAGCTGACAGGATTTTGCCTAAATCATCTTGTATATTCAACGAATTTTAACATTAAGCTCAACGCTCACTCTAAATCCGAAAAAAATTAGGAACAGTACCGGCAATCAAATCCAACGTGGCAATAAGATGCGTGTCGCTGTTTCTGCGCCCCCTGGAGGAAGTTTTTCTTTTGACAGCCACAATAGCCATATGCAGTGGCCGCAGCCAGATCTTAGCCATAGCCATCCTAAAATATCAGGCTTTCGCGGTCAGCAGACACCACTTTGTCTTTTAACAACGAAACTTCTCAGACAATAAGAACAAACGCTGCAATCGCTTTAGTTATATTGTTATTCAGTCTAGGACACGTATTAGTGGCCTTCACATGCAATAATGAATTTTATTACCTTGTTTCTTATTGTTGTATATGCTATGTCCGAAACCGGTATGCATAGCTACCGCACACTGACCAAAGGGAGCTGCGTTGCTCACACTGTGCTAGCCACCCTAACTGTGCCGTCTCAAAGTCTTTGGCATTCGCCGTTAGAGCAGCAGAAAATAGACGCGTGCACTGCGTCCCCCATGTATCCCGGCTACAATCCGCCGACCGATGCAGGGCGTGAGACGCGCACGTCACGTTCTTTTTCACCAAGGCCGTCTCAAGGTTGCCCTTTTTATCCGCTAGGTTATGATTCTGGCGCTGCAGTCAGACTGAAAACTTGACTGAACGGTACCCATTAATGTCGCAGAAGTGCACGCTGCGCCTGCCAAATAAATTCTCTCCAATCGGCTTTTGTGGATGTGAATGCGACAATACCATAAAGCTATCAAATGCTGAAGGACAGCTTTGAAGCAGCGCAGCTGTTAAGGCCGGCTGTAAAAACTTTTGTCGTATGATGCGTTCATCATTCAAAGAAAATTTCATCCACGTGCTATGGCCAGGGCTGCTCTCTTCATTCTCTTTACAGCAAAGTTGCGCTCCATCATACAAAACTCGTCATGTAGGTATATGCGCCACAGCCATCTACCAAGTACAGCCGGTGCCAAGTGGAGCACGTGAAACATACGAAAGAGAGTGAGAAAGAAGAAGATATAAGGATATCGAGAGAGAACAAAATAAGAAAAAAATTCAACCAGCTCCACTTCGCGGGAACCAAGGAGGCCGTGAGGCTGGTGGTGTTCCATTCACCCATGTTACCCCTACACGTAGCGGAAAGGAACAGAGGGCTTCCCCGAAATTCAAATGGAGAGTGTTTTTATCGAGGAAAAATAACTGAAATATTTGTTTGTTTTAAAGGCCTTCAACGGAAGAATACCCCCCCCCCCCCTCTCCGCCCAAGAAAAATTCCTGACTACGAGCCTGGGTGTACTCCTGCTCTTTAATTAATATATATATATATATATATATATATATATATATATATATATATATATATATATATATATATATATATATATAATATATATATATAATAGTATATATATATATATATATATAATATATATATATATATCTTGTTCACCGCTGGTTATCTTTTCATGCACTTTTCTTTCTTCTGATTTACATTCCATTGGCTCTGATAACTTCCCCTGTACATTCCTTGGCATTACTGTCTGTTAGATCTCATTAATATTGTGTCAAAAACACGGAAAAAACGAGCCTTTTAGGTATACACTTTCTTTCCTTGTTATATATATATATATATATATATAATACTATATATATATATATATATATATATAGTATATATATATATATATAGTGTGCACGTGCGTCACGCAGCGCCCCTTCGGTCACTTCCGAAATGCGTCACCGACATGCCCGGTATCTGCCGGCTCCGTCGCCTACCGCTACCCGTGCTGTCTCCTCGTGCTGCGCCCAGTTTAGTTTTGCCTCACGATGCAAGTTTTAGGGCCGCTAGTGAGGCAAGTTGATTTAGTAGTCGCCGAAGAGAGAGCAGAGCTTCGGGATGTTTTTTCGCTGAAAGTTATTACCCAAAGCTGAGGACGCACTTTGCGATTTTCTGAAAGTAACCGGCGTGTTTTGGCTGGCGCGGATTAACAAAAAAAAAACTACTTGAACAACCTCGGTGATATTTGCGTCTTCAGGTGCAACTTCTTTCCGGGTTAGTGCCAATAGCCAAGCACTTACCTGCAAACAGAGATAGCTTACCAAGATACTGTATATACAAACTCACTGCGTGCACAATCATCGTGTCAGGTAGGCGGTCAAAATCGTGATGGTGATCGCGGAAATTCGGGTATTGCGTTGAAACAAACTGTGAAAATGGATGCGAAGCAATATTTGTTCACTTTGAAGTATATACAGCCGATCGGTTCAAGTTGAGGGCTCAGGATTTTCAAAAATTGGTCAATGAATTCCATAACACGGTCTCCATGTTTTTCAGGGTCTTCACTGTACATTAGCGTACAAAAAGGTAAATACAAGGTGAAAAAGGTGTCAAAACATACGCGAAAAAAAAAGTGATTACCGGCATTACCGCGGCACGCACCACGCGAAGTCTCTATCTGCCTCGCATAATGTTTTCCTCGGCTGTTTCCACAAGTTTCAATCAAACAGGCTCAACAGCAGCAGTGTTTAAAACACTTGGGGGGGAGGGGGGGGACGCTGCTACTTTGGTGGCGTGGGCCGCAGCAATATATAATATTAATATTATATCTCTTGTAAAATTAGCTCTGCACGACCTCATTTTCCACGGGAGCTGCTGCTGCGCTTCGCTCATCCACTCTTAAAACGGCGGCTCGAGAGACTTTGGGCTTTCACTTGTTCTTGGGCCACGCAATTTGTAGCGTTTGTAGTGAAAGCGAGATAATGGGCCCTCGTAGGTCGGTGGGTGGGCAGCCAGTGTACGCGGTGGCTGGTATCCGTGTCGCACATCTTGATTTTCTGATCTTGTATCGAGTGAACAAACGAGGCCTTCCTGATCCGATGAGCTCGATAAAGTACGACAGCAAAAAAAAACAGAATGCTTCCCTTTCAACATCGTACACAGAAACAGATAACGAGCCCCCCAAAAAACCGCGCAGCAGCACGCGAACTGCCGTAGGTACCCAGGCATGGCGGGTGACATATATAGGCCTAACCACGTACACACAGATTTGACGAAACCGTCACTTAAAGGGGCCCTGACAACACTTTTCTAGTCACCATATAATTATTAACTCACTTATTGCATCACGATCGAATTGACCGCTGCACTTTTTTTAGAATCCGTCCCGCGTGAGTGGAGGTACAAAAATTTGTCGCACACGCGACAATTGCTTTCTTTCTCCTCTCGTCCCAACAAAAACTCTGGAATATGCGCATGAAATGACCGCACGTGGATCTTTGTTGGCAGACACTCTAGGTTGTTTCGCAGCTAAAACAGACTCGCTTGCTGGATTTCGAGCTGACCGGTCGTGCGCTCGCGCGCGTCCGCGCGCTTGCGATCTCCCGCGTCAGCGTGGCTCTGGCCGACTGGACTCGCCCTACGTCATCTCCTGCCAGCCGACGACCTTCCACCTCCGACGACAGTGCAGCTATGATTTACTGGACTTGTTCTACGCCATCCACCGACGCCGAAAGGAGCTCTCGCAGGTGCGCCCCGTCCTCGGACTCCAGTGACCGTGCTCAATCTTTCCTATCTCTCTATCCCCTCGGTTTGTCCTCGCTCGCTGTGGCCTTACCACCACACGTCTCTTCTTCTCTTCTCCTTCTTCGGCTTTCCCACATCTTTACTCCTATCCTTTTATCCCTCCTCACCCCCATCCCTCCGTGAGCTAACTGTGGCGGTGTCGCTCATTGAAGCGACAATAACGTGGCTCGCTTTTCTCTTCTTTTCTCTCTTTTAATAGCCACTCCGCAGCTAAAACAAACACATCCACGCTTACAAAGCGACAAACGTCGCGGCTGGCACAACTTGAACACTATGTTCGGTTCGAACGCTTTCGCGCTGTCGGTATGTCACGTCACACGTCACAGAAAGATTCCAGCAGACGGCGCCATGGTATGTCCTCCGCCGCCAATAGCGTACGAAGCATTCGTAATGGCATAAATCGCTAAAGTGCTACAACGCGTCAGCACGTGCACGGCGTGTATTTCCCTTATGCGTACCCTCTCCCTTAATAGGAACGCGAATGCACCACGTACTACAGCGTACGTGTGGTTGGGTCTTTAAGAAAAGATTCACGTACGCTATTGAACCATCTAGTAACCTTGATACTGTCAATGCCTATTTTGCAGCACAAGCCTTATTTCAGTATGGGAAGTGGAAGAGGCGTCCTGTGGAGAGATAAAATTTAATCTCTGCGCCTTCACAATTATGATGGCTATTTCCTTCTTATTTTTCGCCATAAGGGCTCCTCCATGTCCACTTACGGTTTTCCTCGTTTTCGGTAGAAGGTATTTAAAATCCGTGATTTGTTGCGTTCTGCGAATTCTACTAGTAGCTCTCCTCTGGCGTTTTCTAGTACGATGCCATAATCTCCTACTGCTTGGTCTCCAGCCTGCTTCTTCCATAATTTTGCATTAAACTGTTTACAGAATGTAATTGCTAACAAAGTAAAGAAACATTAGAATTCAATCAACCAAAGTAACAAGCAGGATTTCGAACAGGCTACTCAACAATCGACCACAGTTCAAACTATCAATCAGGTATAGAGAAATGCTCAGAATATAAGCACCACTATACATAGCCTTCATTGATTACGAGAAGGCGTTTGATTCAGTAGAAATATCAGCAGTCATGCACTGTGGAATCAGGGCGTCGATGAAGCATATATAAACATCCTGGAAGAATATACAGGGGATCAACTGCTACCATAGTGCTTCATAAGAAAGCAACAGAATACCAATCAAGAAGGTGTAAGGCAGGGGACACAATCTCCTCAATGCTATTACCAGCGTGCTTACAGGGAGGTTTTTCAGAAACCTAGAATGGGAGCAGTTAGGGATAAGAGTTAATGGAGAGTACCTTAGTAACCTGCGATTTGCCAATTACATTGCTTGCTGAGTAACTCAGGGGACGAAATTTCAAACTCATGATTACGGAGTTAGACAAGAGGAGCAGAAAGGTGTGTCTTAAAATTAATCTGCAGAAAACGAAAGTAATGTACCACAACCTCGGACGAGAGCAGCGCTTCGAGATAGGTAATAGTGCACTTCAAGTTGTAAAAGAGTATGT